GAGGGGAGGGGGGGGGGGGGGGGGGGGAAACAAAACAAAAAAAACCCAGTGCCTACCTTAATTGTTTCATATGTATCCGTAATCAGTGCAATGAAGAGACTTAGCACCATATAGATGAACAGGCTGATGAAGGAGTAGAGGTAGATCCGACTAAATAACCAAACCAAGTAACTTTTCTGTTGCATTCTTGCAAATGTAGCAAACATATCATCTCCATTTATCAGTGAAAAGAGGCATTCTGAAACCATGTTCAGAGAACGGAACTAGAAAAAAGGGGGAACCAAAACATGGGAACATTAGTTCTCATCTGGTAATTCTATACTTTACAGGTTTATTGGTTTTAAATAGACTGAACAGCCACTGAATATGGCTACCTTAGGTTCAGCCACTGAATATGGCACCCCTTATATACCTGGGTGCAGACCTGTGTATGACAGCATGCAGTGGTGGTAACACTGGTAGAATATACCTGGGCAACACATGAAGAAGGTTAGTTGTTTTGCTAGGGTTTACAGGTATATCTGAAGAGCAGGCACGCTCACTTAGGTGTCCGTTTAAAAGGAATAAGAATTGTGTTTAGATTTGTGGAGTCTAAAAATTAGTCTTGTGCAATGTCAAGTTATTTCTCAGAACGCTGCATAGGAAGCCTAAGCATGTGATTACTAGTCAGTTGAACCACGTTTCTCTGACTCAGGACTTTCATAATGGAGGAAAGAAAAGTGATCAAAATATCAGTTTGTGAACTCCCAGGTTATAACAGCAGTATTTCAAAGTCTTATACAGTTTCCTTATATAAAAAAGTTTTGGAATTTTTACACACAGAGGTATGCTTAATAATTTGACACTCTTATTTAGAATTATGTTGTTCATCTGATTCTCTCTCAAAGATGTTTTCCATTACCTTAGCATGATAAGGTCCCAGTACAATCCATCCACAGAAACAATAGCCCAGATAGATCATAGCAGCACAGCAGCAAAATCTAATGACATTGGGCAATGCTGCACGCAGTGTCAGAATAAGGAGCTGAAGAAAACAATGTTAACAGTTAGAATCCACCCAGGCATTTGTTACAGCCATGTGATAACAACAAACAAAATAAATACCAACAGCACGAAGATCCCAGGAGATCCTTACATTATACTTCTGAAAGAAACCTAGGTAACGAATGACTCCAAGCCACACAAGCATGGTGGATGTTCCAAGAAGTATGCTGCAGACATCATAACTTGTCAGACTCTAATAAAAACAGAAAAGAACCAATTATTAAACCTGCATTGTTTGGTAGAAAAAGTTTTCCTCTTGCACTGTTAGGCCACTACTGCAAATATCAGCTAAAAAAAGGGTTCTCATTGGAAGCCAGTTTTGATTAGTGTGGGGAATCTTAAAAGCTTATGCTTCATAAGCTAAATGCCAGGAGAAGGAAAAAAAGAACCTTGAGTAAATTTCATCTACTTGATACTGCTAACTTGATATATCTACATCCAAAACTGTTACAGCTGAGTTAAACCATAGAAAGAAAATTTACACATCAAAAAGACTCTTCAGCAATGTGAATACAGATGGAGACAAAGAAGGAGTAGGTCAGTGGTCGCCAACCAGCAGATCTCAATCTACCAGTAGATCTTGGAGCCTCTTGCAGTAGATCTCTGAGGCTCTTGGAGTTGATTCAAGGCTAGGGTGAGGGGGCTGAGTGCCCGCGTGTATGCACACGCATACCCCAGCCCAGCAGGTCAGTCTGTAGGGGAGGGAAGGGGCGGGGGCTAGATTGAGGCCCCCATGGTGAGGGACAGTGCTGCAGAGGCAGGAACATGGGTAAGTTGAATGGGGCCCTGGTCCAGTGGGACTTGTCTGCTGGGGAGGTGTAGCCCTAAGTAATTTTTTCTCCCTCTGCCTCGATCTGCCCCCCACTTCCCTCCTCACAGACTTATGCTGGGCAGTGGTGGCGGGTGGCACTGGTGAATGGTAGATCTTGGGTTGCTTTTAAATGCCACAGGTAATCTCCTACTTTAAAAAGGTTGGAGACCATTGGTGTAGGTCTGCTATGGAGTGAGGACAGTCAAAATTAAAGATAAAATCGAGGCAGGGCCCAAATGTAAAGTGAATGTTTTGCTTGTTTTCCAGAATAGCAATGATATAGAATCTAAGGCAGAAAAGGGATAGCTAATGAGAACAAGACCACATCTGTTGGAGAAGAAAAACTCTCAAGAGCTTACTGCACTCAAACTAGGAGCCCATATAGGCTCTCTGAACCCTGCACATAAGACTATTGGTCCAGTAGCAGTTTTGTAATAAAAAACAAAATTGGGGGTGGGGAAAGTTCTGGCTGACTGGAAAACAGCTAACAATGCTTTATTGAATAAGGAATAAAAATGATCCCAACAAGTAGAGGCCTACTAGGCTCTAGCCTAATAGCACACAAGGATTTGGAACAAAAGTTTGAAAAATGAAATAATTTAAAACATGGATGTAAGTAGGCTAACATGCAATATGAGCCATCATCAGGGATCCAGGTTTTCCATTTCCCATGGAAAAACAGGAAGAAAAACAAAACAAAAAACCCCCCAAAACAGATTTTCCTTTTTAACTGAGAAAGACATGGATTTTTCATTTTAAGGGAGAAATGCATGGATTTTCCACTTTTGCAAAGCTCTCTGCAGCCTGGGAGAGTTTCAGCCTACAAGGGGCCAGGGGGTATGGGAGGAGGGTGGTCAGGCAGAGGATGCCTTGTACACGTGTACATGCACACATAGCCACCAGGCAGCCTAGAGAGCACCTCCTGCAGGTGAGTCTGGAGCAGGACAGGGCTGCAGGCAGCTTGTCCACGGGGTCAGGGGGGTGGCTCCCTGCTGCTGCATGCACTCCTAATTTGTACATGGGGGGCAGGGGCAGGCTGCCTGCTGTAAGTTCAGTCACCCTGGCCTGCTGCCTTCCCCCTGGAGCCCTGCGGCCCAGCAAGTGAGATCCAGCATGGCAGGACAAAGTGGGGCCGGGTGGCAAAGCTCCTTGCTGCTGCGAGCCCTGTACCACCACGGCGAGGTGCATAGGTGATGCATGCCTCCCGAGGCTGGTGGGGCATGGCGACTGCCCACAGGCGGCCACGCTGACATCAGTGGTGAAGGCGGGCCAAGCAGGGACTATCTGCAAGTGGCCGCAGCAGTGTTGGCTGTGGGAGGGGTCCCCCCATGACCGGTCTCCGACTGCAGGGGTGGTCCCCCCACAGCCAGACACAGCGCTCTGCCTGCCCCCTCTGCCTGTTACCTAAGCTGAAAGCGCTCACTCTTGGGGGGCACCAGCACTGCCAGGGGGTGCATGTGCACCCCCTATGCATTGCCTATGGCAAGGTGCCCCCTGTCCATCTGGTAGCAGCAGGGGTGGCGGCATGGAGCTGTGCCCCCACTGCAGCTGGGCAGTCAGGGTTTGCCTTACCATGGTGGCACAGAGCTCCCAGCGGTGGCAACGAGCTTCCCTGCCTGACCCCACTCTGCCCTGCCACACCGGGTCCCACCTGCTGGGCCGTAGAGGCCGCAGGGGGAGAGCAGCAGGGCAGGAAGCCCAAGCCTGCAACAGGCAATTCACCCTCTGCCCCCACCCACCACCAATGGGCTCTCCCCTGGCCATGCCATCCATGGGGGCAGAGGAGCCAGGCTCCATACTCCATTCCACCACAGCAGCTCCTGCCTCCCACAGGTGGCAGCTAGGGCCCCTGGCCCCATATCCCTGGCAGCTGGGGCCCCCTCCAGCAGGGGGGCTGGGGGCAAAAGCAGGGGTTGGGGGTTGTGGCTTGGGAATGAGGGGCCTATAGTGATTGGAGGCATTTGTAAGCTTCCAAATTGCTTTAAAATAGTAAATATATCAATAAAACATTGTGTTCAATTGATACACATACACATTAGAGGCATTTCATTTTAAACACAGATTTTAGGGTTTTTAAATGACAGAATTTGTGATTTTTAAAACAGAAAAGCCAGGATCCTTGGCAATCATCCATATATTACTTCAGCATAATCTCTCTCTCTGGTGAATAACTGATTTTTTTAGGCAATGGAAATGCAGTAGATCCAAAACAGATTGAATATCTGTAAAGCATTTGATAAAGGATTACATATTTTTTTAGTTAAACTTCAGGAGATACAGATTATATGCAAATATTTTAAAGGTGACCTAAGGAATAGCTAAAGGAAGAAAAAGACAGCTATAGGTAGTTTTTAAAAGGTAAAGATTGCCAATGATGTGCAAGAATCAGCCCGGAGACAAAAGTTTAATTATTTTCAGTCATGACTTAGACGAAACAAAAATGTGCTAATGAAATCTGTGAATGAATGACAAAGTTGGAGTTTGTTGTTTAGATGACTCTAATATCTTACACAAAATAATGGATGACTGAGAATTGGAGAAATACAAAAACAGTACTAATTTAGTAATAGTACAAAGTGCAAGAACAGCATATGGGAAAGAAGAATTTCTGCTGAAAGCAGGGGTCTCACCAGTTAGAAGAGACAGGGAAAAAGAGATTTGGATGCATAAGATGATCACAGGATGACTGAGCCAGTAATGATTGTGGCAAATACAATCATAGGCTATACCAGGAGGAGCATTCTTGGTTCAGAGAAAAAAGTATTAATGTCATTATATAAGGCACTGTAGGGACCTGTTTTAGAAACATAGTCATTTATGGTCACCCATGTTTAAGAGATGATAGGAAACACACAGGTGCAGATAAAGCTAGTAGGAAAGACCAAGGGACTGGAGAGCTTGTCTTGCAAGAGAAGGCAAGAAAAGTTTAGCTTTACAGCCTAGCAAAACAAAGGCTGATTGCTCACCAAGCAGCAGGAAAGGAGATTATCTATTTAAGGTAAAGGACAATGTTTGGGCAAGCACTGTGTATGAACTGGTTGCAAACATATTTAAACCAGAAGTTCAGCTTCAGAACAGTGAGGTTCTCAAACAACCTTCCAATACTGGGTAATATAGGAAAACAAAGATGGAACTTGATCACCTTATGAAAAGGACATGTAGTGACTGCAATATCAGGGAACGCAGATGGTTTTTCCAGTCCTGTATTGCTATAAGCAAAAACAAATGCATAACAAGAGAAACCAGGTCTAACGAACAAGTAATGCTGAGAGATTACCAGAGTTCCAGGAAGTCACCAAGAAAAAGGATATCCAAGTTTAGTTGCTTATTATCACAGAGCTTCATTAATTTGTGCTTCACTAGTTTTTCCATTCTAGTAATACCTATAAGTTGCCCTATATTCATTCAAGGCAATGCATTTACTAACCCATTTCTCCTTTAACTGCAGAGCTAAAGAAACCATGCAAAACTGGCACTAATTTTTTTCTGATCGAAGATCATACCCGCTCACTTGCTGACAAGATGTTATTGCTTTTGTAGCAGGTATGTCAGGAATAAAAAAAATACAAGTGGGTGATACTGCATTCTTTTTGTGCATCAGCTTCGTTTATTAACTTGCACTGTTACATTTGCACAAATTTAACGTAAAAGGTAGCATAGAATTATGTGGCTGGCAGAACTTTCAAACTGACGTGCAATAAGGGAGAGATTTAGATCTCAGACCTGATCTGCAAGGCTTACAATGAGAAGTTGCTTCTACTTGTAAACTGATTGAATTTTATATGCAGATCTTAGAAACAGTTAAGGCCTCACCATCCTCATTTTACTTGCGCTTGGATACTCATATGATTTCACTCTAGCCTTGTTCTTCAACATGGATTTTGCCAGAACATGACCAATGGATCTCTTTGGGTTTTGTTTTTTCTTGTGTTTTTTAAATTTGTTTTTTAAAGCTAAGCTGAGCTTATCTCCCATAGTAAATTAAATAAGAAAATAAAACATCTCTTGCGGTCCAGTATGGTCCGCATGTGCAACCTGTGGGTGAACGGAAGCATGTGCACTGGCAGCCCCAAAACCCTCAATCACTGGACACAGGTGCTGATCAACAAAGTCAGGGAGGCTGAAGTGCAGAGGCGAGGGGATGTGGAAGAGGGGGATCCACTTTCCTGTGCCAGCACTCCCAGCACCGGCACCAGCCCCGGCACCAGCACCAGCCAGTCTCCTCCATGCCAGCCACTGCCAATGTGGGCCATGGGCATAGCTTCAATGCTGTGGTCCAAACGTAGCAGACCCCAGCCTTGGGCAGGTAGTGCCGAGGCTTTGGTGGCTACCTATCTCGCTGAGGATGTGGAGCCACTGGACTGCGACCCCTTGGCCTACTG